TGGTTGCTGATACATTGAAATGGGTATTTGATGCGGTGCAACTTTTCAGGAAGAATGTCAAGTCCAAAACGCCGCCCTGCGTGATGCTTCATGCTTCACTTCCGTGTACGGGTGGGTGCCCCTGGAACAATATCAATGGTCAGACTCAAGAAGGTCAAGCCAAGATCCAGGAGCACAAGGCGTTGTTTCGCAAACTGCTGAAGCGTTTGGACAAACTTATCACTATGCTTCGACAGCTTGACATTGTGCTTGTGATCAACATGGAACTTCCTAAGCTCTGCAGTTATTGGAAGAACTATTTCGTGCATGATTTCCTTATGAAATATGAGATGGTCAAGTATAATTGTTCTTCCTGTCAATCGTTGGCCAAACTGCAACAGTATAAGTGCACAAAGGATCATCAGCATGGACAGTCCAGGGGGGCGGCCCTCAAACGTGCTGAATCTTACACGTATGAAATGACTGACCTGATCCATGGATGTTTTTCTGAGTTTGCTGACAGCATGAAACAGGTTGTCACCGATAGCTCGGCTCAGAGACCAACAAAACGTGCACTTGTTGCTCTTAAGCTTCCCTCACCGGTAGCCGCAATGGCTGCTTACAATCTCGGGGAGTACGAGCAGGGCAACTTGGAGTACTGGCGAGGTGTGATGACGAGCTTCACGTCGAACACCTTGTTCCAGGAGACGAGGCCTGAGGATCGCAAGACAATGGAGCAGATCCTCGGAGCACAGGCCACCCTTCAGAGTTCATGCGCTATGTGGGCGGCTGACTACGCGCCGGAGCTCATGGATACGCTCTGCGCCGTTAACGACAAAGGTCTTGGCCGCATCACGCCCGGGGCAACCTGTGGCCGGAATAGCGTATACCTTGTTGTGAGTGACTCCAGCCTCGCCCTCATCAGCGGTGGCAAGAAGAACCGCAAGAGGGCGGATTTGGCGCAGGACATGAACTACAACCGCAGCACTGGTTGTAGCCACTGTGAGGTGAGAATGTGTTGGGGAAAGGATCTCACATTTCTCACGTGGACAGTGAAGAGCGCCATGAAGGACTTGAAGAAGCGCCCTGAGTTTAAGGACCACGACTTCTACGTGACGGTGTACTGGTCCGGGAACGAGCTCGTTGGCAGTGGTGGGATCTGCGATGAGCCCGAATGGCCATACCGTTGCGGAGACGGTCACTGGCCCGAGCTGTTCAACAAGTGCGCCAAGGCGATCGATGTGCTTGAGGAGTGCAGGAGTTGGTGGAGCATTGCAAACATCACGATCTTGGCCAACACCGAGGGTTCGTACTATATGCTCCCGCCCATCTACAACCAGTTCATGGAAAAGTTGTTGGATGAGTCGCTCAACAAGCACAAGCTCCTTCGCAAGAAGGAGTCGACGTTCTTGGTATCTCGTCAGGACCGGCTTGACAACTATCACATGATGGACTCCATCGAGAACCGGAAGACGACGGTGGAGTGGCTGTGGTCGTTGTACAACGTCATGAAGTGTGTCGCTGTCGTTGAGTCCCACAAAGAAGATTTCAACAACGTCAGGTTGTACCTTGAATATTCTCATGACGCCGAAGCTGGACTCAACCCCAACACTTTGGCCGAGTATGAGGCGAACAGGAAGCTCACTCTTGAGTCATGGGAAAGCCTTCAACGTCCGATCAAGCTCGCGAAGGGCCGCATCCTCGAAAAGATCGAGGAAGTCGAAATCAAGGAGGAGATCGACTATGATGACGATGATGCACTCCCGCAAGGGAGTGCCGCTGAGGCTGCGCTTGGCGTCAAGGCCGCTCCGGCTACACCCAAGTTCACCGCGAAAGCATCGCCTAAGGTACAGGCGAAACCATCGCCTAAGGTACAGGCGAAACCATCAACTGCTGCGGTGGCGTCGGATGTGCGGGGGGCAACCCCTGCCGGAAGCGCATTGCCAGGCAAGCCCGGCGGAACCGTCATCTTCCGCGGCCAGGAGTATGAGGCGAGGATTCTCCCGGGCACGATCCTGAAGGTGCCCAACTTCATGAAGGGAGAAACGTCCTCTACCGATCGGTGCACAACCATATCTGGTATGCTTCGTGGCAGATTTCAAGAACAGAGGCCACTCGATTTCGATGAGAACTATTTTGTCGACGTCCATCAGCTATGTGACAAATTCAACAGAAAGACCCGCAGCAATATCGGGTACAAAACGCTGTTGAAGATTTTTGCACTCGATCCGAAATGCAGATACACCGTCCTCGCGATCAAGCACCCTTCGGCTGCCGAGAACAACCAGGAGTGGGTTGTCATCAAGGTTCGTGCCAGTCAGGGACACGCCAGCAGCGTTGATGCTGATGGCGACATCAGCCGGAACCAGTATGCACTTGCGAAGGCCGTCTATGGGAAGTTTCTCCCGGAGGACGCTCGCAAGGTTGGACTGCAACTTTCACCGGTTGATGATGGCCCTGGCAAACTATACCATCGCACGAGCAAGAACGCAGCCGAGAACATCGTCAGGACAGGTTTGGTCCCGGGTGGCGTTGGTGCCACGGAGAGTGGCCGCTCGCAAAGCCATTTTTCCATCCACCCGGTAGAGAGCTCATCGTATAATGCTGGAGTCCGAGCAACGATGCCCATTGAGCTTGTGATCGACTTCAAGTATGCGATTGAGCTCGGAGTGGTGTTTTTCCTTTCCGAGTCTGATGTCATGCTGACCAACGACATCGTTCCCAATGACTCCATTCTGTACTACACAGACGCGAAGACCGGAGAAGTGCTTTGGAGGAACGCCCTTCGTCTTGAGGCATTGGAGAATCAAACGACTGTCGATATGCTCGCCGCAAGGCGAGCCGTCACTGTGACTGCAGACGAGGCCTTTCAGACCGATGCGGAGGGGAACAGGGCCACAAATCCTGAAGAAGAGCAGACAAATGAGGATACGGCCGCTTCTTGCCCGGGGCAACCCGCGGCCGACACCTCAGTTGTCCGTTTCAAGACCTTTGCGATGCCCGTCCACTACACGGACTGCAGCCTCTGCGGCGAGGACATGATGCAGGGGCAGCTCAAGTGTCAGCGCTGTGGACGGAGCACCAAGGAGAACAACGACGTTCAGCTCTTCAGAGCCGCAAAGCGGAGAACGCAGATGCTTGAGGAGGTGAGCCACCGCGTCGGCAAGACGGTTGACCAGCTCCTCATCAATGATTTCAAGGGCTATGCTGATGTTGCAAAGAGAGGAGCAACATCCTTTGAAGCCAAGCAGATCGAGGCTTCGAAGAACTACGACAGCAGGGCCCGCAAGCTTGGATACGACAATGTGGTAGATCGGTTTGACAAAGACGCGACCTTCGCCCTTCGCATGGTGGAGCAAGGGCACAACCGCGACAGCCTCTACCAGATGTCTATCTATAGGTTTTGTGTCCTCCCCGAATTTCCACGGAGTTATGATCAACGACTTCTCGGGGTTGGGCCACGCTATGGAAAACGAGGTCTCCAATATGTGAGGACCGTCTACGTCACCGGCGGCAAGGTCGGGGACTATGACGCCAGCCTGCTTGAGTTTCCATGGCTATTCTCGTACAACGGGAAAATGCTGAGTCTTCATCAATTCGTCGACCAGGTCAACATCCTCCCGGGGATGCGCAATCTCGTCACCTTTGGCGCGAAGTTCCCTACGCTCCGGGCAACCGGAGCCGTGGACCTCGAAGCTGAAGTCAAGGAGATTTGCGGCCAGGCGGAGGACGATGCGAAGAAGCTCGCACGGCGCAGCCAAAGGCAAAGCGCCGAGGACCGCGCCCGCGGACCTGTGCAAGCTGCTCAGCCCGCCTCCAGCTCCGCTGCCAGAAGCCGAAGCTGGAGAGATTGGGGCAGTCAGGACTGGAGCAGTCAGGACTGGAGCAGCTGGCAGTGGTCGACCTGGAGTTCGCGCGGCTGGTCTACTAGCGGAAGGTGGTGAATGCAATCCTCATCACAACGGAGCCCTTCTGAGAGAGAGTAGCAATTTGCATGCACGACGGATGTGTAATGTCCATTTTCAACGTGCAATGGATGTGCGTATGGAATCAAAGCGGGTTGCAAAACCTGCCGACATTTTCGTTGTTGCTCAATCTCAAATGAGGGGGGTGTGGATTCAGGTTCCAACCCTGTGCATGAGTGTACCTTGTACATGCTCCGCCGCTACAGACTTCAAGAGCACTATCAGCAGTGTGAAAAGTAGTCAACGGTTTGCTGCTTGCCTAGGTATTACCTTAGGTGGCCTAGGCTTGATAACACAAGTTCAACTGGTAACGACTGGCCAGACGGATGAGTCTTAAACATAAATAGGTACCCAAAAAAGGTGGGTTTTCCCTGCGGCTTCCCTTTACACCAGCCATACAACTATTCTCCTGCGTTCCTGGACTGAACAAACCTTCATGGCAGCGGCGAAGAACAAGTTTCCTTACTTTTGGCCAACCCACAGAGGTTCCTCAGTTTCCTTTTTTGTTGGACCTCAAGTGGACGTCAAGTGACGATTTCAAAGGCACCCGCCACTCAATGGAAAATCCAACCCCTGACCCACGGAAGTGAGGAGAAGGGTACCTCACTCCAATGTCAATGTTTTCACGGACTTTAGTCACTTTTTGGGTTGAAACTATTTTAGTTCCAGGACTGTTTTCGGCCAGTCCACGTGATCGGATGTGAGTAAAGGGCAAGCAAGAGGAGACTTCAACCCTGTTGGGGGACAGAATCCTCTGTGGACAAACACCCTTGCTCCCCTGATTGTTTCAGTCCCACAAACAAGCCGCTCAGACTCCAGGACGACTACCCTAAGACTGCAGCCCAGACTTTTAAACCTCCCCAAAAACAAAAAGGGGCCACCCTAACATGCTTTTTTTGGTAGGGACACATTTTACATTCTTGCTTATTGAGGTTTAGTGGTTGAAATCCACTTAGCTGCATGCTTAACAAAAATGCCCCCCTTCCCTCCGGAAGCTCATCTTCAACTTAGCCAAACGGGGGTGCCAGACACCGCCTCCGTCGGCTGGGATCGGAGGCCACGGATTGGGCGCGCGCCCGGCGCGCCGCTGAGCAGCTGCGGAGCCCCAGCTACGACACACGCCAGTTCCACGCGCCTCAGCCGCGGATGATGTGTTGTTTTTCTTTTTCTTTCCTCCGCTGGGCATAGAGGCAAAAACGGCTGGTCTTGCCAATGTGGCTTCTGTTTTTTTGTTTTTCTCGGGCTTGCTTGGCCTTTCTTCAGAGCTTTCTCTCTTGCTTCTTGTTGTTTCTCCCCTTTTTTCTTTTCGGCCTCTCACTTTTCGTCTGGAAACACCCGAAGTAACGGTTCAACCGGCGTGTGCACACTGGCAGCATCTCCTGGGGCCTTGGGAAATCCTAGGACGACATCACCGTGGCCTTCCCGGAGCTGCGGCTCTACTGCCTCATCAACGCCGAGGAGGACGAGGCCGACGCCGCCAAGTCCGCCCCTCGCAAAAGGAAACGCGGGCGGGAAGTCCTTCCCGGGGACCGGGGACCGGGGATGGGAGCGAGAAAAAGCCACGCTTTGCGCGGAAGAAGCCACGGGAAGGTGTTTTTTTCCGGGCGACTTACGCAGAATCTGTTACTCTGTTCGATTTGAATCGGCCTTTTGACCTTTTTTCGCAATCCTTCTGGTTTTCCCTGTTTCGCCGCGACTCATTTCCGGGTCCTTTGGGCAACTGAGCTTGGAGACGAGAGAAGTATATCTGTATGTGTATCTAAACATGCAAATTCTACATATGAATGGGTATGTGTATATGTATATGTATAGAGTTTATAGGTTAGCAAATTTCCGGCTGTCCTTCGCCCCGGTTTTCGCCACCCAAGACCCGACGTCAATGGGTGATTTGTGACGGATGGCTCACAAGTGGGGTTGTACTCAGCTTGGCCGGCGAATTGCGCTCGCAGACCTGGTTGCAACCGCCATTGTTTCTTTGCAAACCAGCAGAAGAAAACTGGGTGATGTCTCTTCAAATAACTGCGGGCATGAGACCATGGCTTCAAAAAAAACAAAAAACATGTCTCTTCAAATGATGACCCTTCCTGGCTTAAAAAGGAAGCGCATCGTTTCAGGTCTACTTGGAGACACATCTTCCAATGTTCGGACAAGTGTGAAGGCCTGAACAACAACACAGTTTCGCCTCACCGGAGCCAGCTGCGTGCTGCGAATGCGATGGGATTTAAAAAACAAATCAGGATGAAAAGTCTATCAACTTTTGCTTGGCTGGAACCAATACTACAGCACTTCTTCACTGCTGCGTTGGGATGTTTGTTCACCACTTCAGACCTCGGCGGATGGCAGATGCAGTCTGACATAGATAGGCCACTTCCCAGGAAAACCCATCTAGTTCCAAACAGGGTTGTTTCCCATGTGATCATCGGTGTTCCTGGGAAATTGCTGTTTCTGTGTGGTAAATAGAGGGCAGGGAAACACCCAACTTTACCACCCCATTTCCCAGAAACACGCCATGATCACAGCAAGTGTCCGTTTCGTTTCAGGGGGTCCGGCCTTCGCGCCTTCGACGCGCCGAGGCATCGGCGGGTTCCATCTCCCAGGGCACCTCTGCGGGCCGATCCAGCTTCGAAGAGTACCAACGTGCGCAGCTTCCCGTTGAGACGTTGGGTCGTCGAGTCGGCGGATTTCGCGTTTCTTGCCCGAGGTGGCTTCTTGAAACGGTGGAGATTCAGGGCCTGGCAGGCCCCAAGAATAGGTGCTCAATTTGGTTGGGTCAGAGGGAAGGCTCGGCAGTTGTGGCTCTGGAAGGAATGATTTTGCCGGTTGGCATCCGTTTTGAAGGGAATCTATCACTCACATTTTGGCACCGGAGACTTGAGCAAATGGAAGGGCCTGCACAAGTGGTGCCATTTCCTTGGCTAGCTTTCCGCCTCACCGGGTAGGCCGGTAGGCGGGGAGGTTTCTTGTTTGTTGGCTTCCTCGAAGGGAAACTCCCACCATCCGCTTAGAGCGCAGAGCATGCGCGAGGTACCATTGGCGCGCTCTTCTGCATCTTCTGGCTCATGTGCCTTGGCAAGATGGAGCGAGCTACATTTGAGCTGTACCTTCCGTACTTTTTGGAGAGCCTTCCATCGACTTCCAACTTCCAAAGAAAGAGATGCATGATTGTTGGACACGGCTGGGGGCGTCGGACATCTGCACATGCGCTGCGGCTGTTCTGGGATCTCTGTTGATGGGCTAACGCTGTCCAACAGGCCCGGGATAGGAGTGGCAGACATTGCCAGCAAAACCTTAAGCCTTGAAGCACCCGAAGGGATTTTGTTTTATACATACCGGCCAGAACTCATGATTGTTTCGTTATATCTTGTTGGGGGCAATGTCCGATGCACTTCCCAGAAAATGAGATGCAGCCGCTCAGTTCCAGCTATGCGGTGGTAGCCCTCAGTCGCAAAGGCCGGGATGTTCCGCGAAAGCTGGGTGAAACCTGGAAAGAATGAGGCACGCTTTCCATAGATGTTGCCGGAAACTTACCCTTCACAGCTTCCTTACTTGCATAGAAGAAGCTGTAGCCTGAGGATATAGGCGCTAACTCCCAAAAAGCTGACGGGATGTCCAAATGCATTTCTCGAGCTGGTCGCTTCCAAGCCGCCGGATTCGGCTGAGGCGACTCCACTTGGACGGCAAGGAATGCTTCTGCTTCGGCCTCGACAACAGCTGGAAGCCGAAGCTCGGAAGCCGGCCTTCGGCTTGCCAGGGTTCGGCCAGGGGCGACTGGAGCTTAAGTTTCTTCGGTTCTCTGGGGTAAACCTGGGCTGAGTGGCGGAGTGGGGATTTGAGGTTCAGGTTCTTCAGGAGAAACATGGGAAACCCTCTATCCTCCAAGCAGGCCCCAAAGCACCAATGACAGAAGCTGATGCGAAGAGTGCGATGATCTTTGGCAAACACGGAAGTGGACTGCTGTTTGGAAGCTGGCAGGAAGTTTGTTTTTTGGGAAATGGGGCAGATGTCTGAAGAGCAGGGGTAAGCCTTGTCTTTTAGTGCCGAGTTTGGGCACATTGTCTTGTTTGAATGTACCCTTTTTGGTTTGGTTTCAAGGGAAACCAACGTACGGTTTGATGTCTCCTGTGGAGAGCCCGCATGTGGACAGCTTATATGTAGCCGGCTAAACAGTTAAAACGCGGGGCCAGACGGCTCAATACACAACACCTCAGGCGCGTATTTGCTGCTAATAGGGTCCCTTTTGGAACGGGTCCCTATTCCCAAGGGAACCGGAGGGAAGATTCCGTGGAAAGCCGCGGATGTTCGGGGTCTACTTGACCAAAGTCCTGCGGCTGCCGCGGCCCCCAGGAAGACGCAAGAGGACTTCCTCAAAGAGGGCGCCGTGGCAGCCGTGGCAGCCGTTCCTTTTGGGTCTTTGGATTTGCCACTGGCCCACGCTCAGCTGCAAGCCTAATTCAGGAAGCGACCCCTTGGGTGTGGATGGTCGATTTGGGGAAACGTAGCCTTTTCCGTCCGGGTTTGGGGTCCGACCCCCCATTTTGACTCCTTTGTTTGGGGCAATTGCCTGTTCAACTGCGAGGTTCAAAAAGCTCCCGGGGATTTGGAGGCGCCGGGGCTCAAAAACCATCAAAGATACGAAGTAGCTCAGGGCGACCATCAATTTCCGTGTTGGCATTCCACCCGCTGACTCTTTCTGAACGAAGGGTGGGTTGTGGAGTGATGCGCTTGTTACCCATCTGTTGGCTGCGTATGCTCCAGCGCAGATTCCCAAGCACACCCGACAAGCTGAGCTTACCTGCCGACCAGTCCAAACAGTGGAGGACTGGAACATCGCTGCAAGCTGATGCAGGCCCTTTGGGAGCCATTTCTTTGCCACTTCTTCAGGTGGAATCAGGATCTGGGCTTCCGGCATTTTTAGGCCTGAGGGCGCAGCTTCCACGATGGTGTTTTTTTCCGATTTTCTTGCTGATTGCTCAGCTTTCTTTGCAAGATTGCAGCTTGGTGTTCGTTGTGGTAAAGCTCTTTTGCGGTGGTTGCCGCACCCGGCCTTCAGCACACATCTGCGAAATCATAAGGAGATCTCCCATGTCGCCGAACTCCGAACCGAGGTAGCGATGACATGCAGCTGGAATACAAGAAGCGGAAGGCCGGAGCTTTCCCGAGCTGCGAGCCTGTTCAGTTACTGAATTACTGGCCGTTTGGAGCAGGTACCCAGCCTCCCACACGAAGCGAAAATGGCGGATACTCTTAGTGGTGCCGCAACCTCCTGACCACTCAACCTAGCTGTGCCAACTCTCCATGGATGCACCGACAGGGGTTGAGCAGGTTTAGTTTCACAGTGGTTGAAACGTTGTTGAGGTAGTCAGCCAGTCAGCTAGTACAATTACTAATTAGATAAGCAAGCTTGCCAACGCCACAGCAAGTTTGAAGAAGTTGGCCCAACCCCAGTGACGTTTGAGGACTTCTACGACAAAGCAGACTGGGATGGCCTTAGCAACCTCTTCGTTGGCGCGGGCCTTATGAAGAAGAAGAATGGCCCCCACGATCCCGAGAGGACCGGCCGCGGGTGCACAGGTCTTATTCGACAAGATTGGGGGCTCGACTTCCCAGAGTTCCCTATTATTTCCCTTGGTGCTGTTAAACAAATTAAATACCTCAGCCCATGTGACGTTCATTTCCTTTGGCCGTGACTTTTTTTTGCGAGGATGAATTTCTTGTGAGCTCGCCGGCGGAAAATATTTGACATATAGATATATATGATTACATATATTGCTTTGCCCTGAAAAGGAGATCTAAAAGTCAAGGGGCAGCTTTTTAGCCGTCTTTGATTCTTGAAGTCTGCCCTAGAAAATGGAACTTAGGATGGGGGATTCCTCCCGAGAGATCTGCAAAGGTCGGCAGGCTTTGTAACCTGATTGCTATCTTGGCTCACTTGCCCAAGGCGAATCGACCAGATTGAACCTGTTGGTTCCCCTGATTTGGATTGCATGTTTAGTGGCCCCAAAAGCTGATCACCATAAACTGACCAGGTCCAAGCTGGGCAAGTGAGTTAGGGGCCACAAGCTCTAACCTCCCAAACCAATCCAAAAAGAAACCCATTTGCTGGCCCCATTGATTTACCAGTATCAAAGTCACTCCCTAAATGGTAGGTTAAAGGGAAGCCACTCCAGTTTCTGATTGTGACCACCCCCAAAAACCGTCAAAGTCATGACTCCAGACTTGGGAGGATCCAAAAGACACCAAAACCCGGGTGTTGGGTGACGAGGACGTTGGCGATGCTGGTCCTCATGACCATCCACGACCTCATGAAGCTGGACAAGCTGCGCCCCATCTGCGCGAAGGAGTTCGGGGGCTACAAGCGCGGCGACCAGCGTCTTGGGTGAGAAACCTGCAGCCTGGTGGGCGCGCTTTTTTTTTGGGACGCGCTTCCCAAAAAAAGCAGAAGGAGGTGCCCTCTGCAAAGATTTAATTTGGACACCCCCGCCAAACTCTGAAGAATCGACGAGGTGTATGAATCATGGGTCCCTGGTGATTTTCCTGAGGAGATTTGGCGTGGCGAGCGGGAGAAAGAGAGCAAGACAGACAGAGGCAGAGAGAGTACCGGTCCCGAGCAATTGGCTTTGCGTGTGAGAAAGCAAAAACCTGAGATGGAAGATTCAGACATGTCTCATGACCCTGCAGCTCAGGATCGGAGATCATGACATCGCACTCAGCCGCTACGCCTGCACATGTTGCTGATGTCATTTGCACATACACAAGGCATGATGCCAGATTATACCACTTAGCCTTTGCCCAGGTTCTGTTAGGCTTCGAGGATTTGTGCCCCAATTCATCCGATTGGCGTGCGCCTGTTCCCCCCCTTCCCTGCACATGGCTGGGCTTGCCCGAGGTTATGTGCTTGAGCGGTTCCCATCCTCCCTGCCGTCCTTCGCCGGGCTGTCTCTGGAGCAACAGAGAAGCATTCGATTTACTCACAGCCGCTTGGCTGAATCGGCCCCAAAGCCTGTGTCGCATTTGAGAGGGTGGAGAGTGGTTTCAGCAGTCGTGGCTCGATATGGATAGATGTTCGCTACCTTTCCAGACGACCGTAGAGAGGCGTTTGGGAACAATGCTGCCGAAGGGTAGGTCGGTTTGCACCCTCAGGCCGCATGGACTACAACATGGGGTGGCTGGCAACGTGCCGGCATGTGGCTATTTGGGGGGGCAAGGTGGCAAGGGTTTTGTTGACCCCAGATCTTCCTAATTGAGGGGTTCCCCCCCAAAAAAAAATGCAAAAGAGAAACAGAGAGGAAGGATTCCCTCTAAATTGGGATGAACCAGAGGTCTTGGGATGAACCGATGGTTAGTTATTGCAGTATAAATTCAGGACGGCGGGCCCTTTGGGGTAGGGCCCCGTGATCAACGGCCCTTGGCAGGTGACCCATCAGAGACAAAGGCAACATTTGTTCTGCCTCGTTGGGCACGGGCGACTCGGCACCAGGTCTGGCCTGGCCGCGTCAACTCACAGCATCCGCCCTCTTTGCAACGCGTTGCTTCATAGTTCCTGGCAGGCACCCTTGCAAAAGAAGTAAAAACATACAAACCACAGAAACGGGATAAACCGGCAGGTGTTTTGGCCGGGTGGTGCAAATCCAATTGCCCTTCCAGAGTTTCCAGTGCAACTGGCTGTTCCTCGTCTTTTTCAATTGCAACTTTCTTTCGTGATCTACCCCAAAGGTCAAGGGGATGTTCAGGTAAGGGTTTGGGAGGTGCCATGTTTTCAAGCTTGACAGTCAGCATCGGGATAGAACGCGCGCAAGCAAACCATCCACTGATTATTTTGAAGGAAAATCCACGGCCATTTGAAACCGCAGAAGTGGAGGCATGTGTAAAAAGGTGGCCGAACCCTGAGTTCTCAAAGCACACATTGTCGCAATTGGCTGCCCTTGAAGCCAACACCGACTCTAAAACAGAGCTGCACCCAACACGTCTTATACGCCAAGCTCCGAAATGGGAGGAACGAGGCACGTATGCAGAACTCTCCAAGAAGCAGTGTGAAGGATCTCGCTGCTTGGTATACCCCAACTCACTTGCTGAAAGCAAAGACCTTTTCACCCTTTAGTTCCCCCTGGCAGCATTTGTTTTCGTCACCTAACATGACAACATATGACAACTTCACCCTTTAGCTTCCCCTTTTGGCAGTCATTGTTCACCTCAAAAGGTGGTCGCCTTTTTCTTCAGGGTCCGAACTGGGCAACTGAGCTTTACATAGTTCTCAAGGCGCCCCCCTGAAAAAATGACACCCCCAAGTCAGGCAACCTGCCATTTTCGGTTTAGACTGGTGACCGGGGACTTGAACCTGCCAGGTTCTCGTCGGCCAATGGGGAAGAAACCCCAAAAACATGTTGGGAAGTTTGCCCCACAAACGCAACGACCACCGATACTTCCCCTGGTTTCAGAGTGAAACCCATAAAACAGCTCGGGGCTTTGCCCTAGAAACGCCAACCAACCAACCAACCGATGGTTGCCATGGTTTCTCAAAGTGCCGCGAAAGGGAAATTGCAGGTCAAGTGGGACACAAAAGCCAAAAACAGCTGGGGAGTTCGCCCTATAAAATGCCAACATGGTTAGGTGTTGTCATGGTTTCAGAGTAGCGAACTGGAAATGTCATCTCCATCCCTTCCCCCGCCCTCTCCGCGCGAGGTGCAGGCGGAGGCGCCCCCGGGCGCCCTCTTCCGCGCCCTTCGCGGCGCCATCTGCGAAGGCTCGCCTCGGAGGTCGACGGGGGGTTCGAGTCGGTTCGCGCTGGGAGGGGTTGCAAGGCGGTTCCTTTTCAGGCGTCCGGAGGCTGGAAGGTTTCAAAATTTAAGGTGTTTGGTTGGTTCAGTGGGGGGTTAACTTAAAGGATCTGAGATCTATATCTCCCCTACAGGTTACGGGAAGGAACCCCAGAAAGTTCAGGTTGCAGAGGAGTGGGACCCCTGTTGCGTTCCATATCAAGTTGTAGAGGATTATACCATGTTCGAGTGTTCCAGTTAATATTCAACCAAATGAACGGGCGCTCAATAGCGGACACAATTCAGTTCCTGAACCGGTGGTTTAGATTTGTCGTCCCCTCTAAATCCAGGAAGACATCCCTAACCCCAAAACCACCATTCCCAAACTATAGGTAAGGTGGATCATGTTTAGTTTCTGTCCGAAAATGCACACCAAAGACAAGGTGGGAAGTTGTTTGATTAGTCCAGAAACCATTCCTCGATCGGTCTCTCGATCTGAGGTCAGGCCCAGCGCGGCGCTGCAGACGTGGCGTTTTACTTCGCCCACTGGTCGGGGTCTCAGCGGCTGGGGTTGCCTTTTGGTTTCCCTCTCCAACCACAAGAAGGGTACCATCAAAACGCAACAGCACGTCCTTGTTGGAAAAGGTGCCCTAGATCTTTGGAAAGCCAACGAAGGAAGCATCAGCTCGTTTCAGGGACATGCATAAGGATTGTTCAACTAAAAGTGGTGCGAGGTTTAGGATCCCTGAGGGCTGCATGTTGGAAGGTAAGGCTGCAGAGCTTCTTTGCCCGTTTTTTGGGGCGAGGCCGCACGGTCAGAACTTCTGATGTTGGAGGGCCAACCCGTGCTACTCCGGCGCTTTCCGGCGCCTTTTTGCCCGCACGGCCCGTTGATTTGAACGCGCCTTTGCTTTGAGACGCCTCCCCTCTCCCGCCAAGGCGCACGGATTTGGATCTCGCGCAGCAAGTGATTTGCCTTCTACTTGTTGGGGCAAACCGCTTTAGTGGCAAACCAAAAGGTTGCTCCCATGTTTGGGGTCCATCCACCACGGCTCGTGAGAGCGCGTGCCTCCGTCTCCCGCGTGCCACTGGGCCCGAAGCTGAGAGGTTTGCAGACCTCGCCGGGGCGGAGCCCTTCCCCATGCAAGGCTGTGAGAAGTTTGTGCTGAAGCCTCTCGGATGCGGAAGCCGAAGCCGATTTTGTTTTTTCGGGGGGAAAGATGGCAGAGTTCGGTGAACCGGTAGCCGCCGGTTTGTGCGTCGGAAACTCGGTTTGAGTGGTTGCGTGCTTGTCGAAAAGGCTCTTGCCTCGGCTGGTCGGTTGCCTTGTTTATGAAAAGTGGGACGCAACCAAAACATCAACAAAAGACGAGGCGCCGCTTTTTTGGAACCCCCTTTTGGTGGGTTTCAAAGGGAGAGCAACAGGAAAGCAACCATTTGGGGAGTTCCAAGCCTTTTTTTGGGGGATGTGGGTGTACCGATCAGCTTGGTTGATTGAATTCAGCATAACTCAGCACTGCGGAGACATGGCATGGGACGATTTTGTGAAAAAGGAAACCCTCCATTGCCTGCAGCAATAAAAAAGCGCGCTGCTTTTGGCCGGAAATGGCTCCGTTCGTCATTTCCAACAACTGCTTGGGCACCCTTACGCAATATGTCGTGGAAGGAGCAAGTTCTGGTTGGTGCGCCCCCTCCTTGCCACCCCAAACCCCCCACACCCTCCCAACCCCCCCCCCCCTCCTTGCCACCCCAAACCCCCCACACCCTCCCAACCCCCCCCCCCCCTCCCAACCCCTCCCAACCCCTCCCAACCCCTCCCAACCCCTCCCAACCCCTCCCAACCCCTCCCAACCCCCCCCCCTTCCCAACCCAACCCCCCCCCTTGCGTGGATTGCCAACGGGCATTTTCACGGCCTTGGCGCTGAAATGTGGACCTTCAGCTTACCTCCGGGGCTCCCTCGAAGGCTCCCAAGACGACCGCGCTCCGAAGCCATGGCCCCGAGGTTTCCGTTGCAAGTCCTCACGAACTTCGTGGCACCTCTGGCTGAAGCGCCGCCACACTCCGAGTCTTTTGGGCCGGAACCTTCCATTTGGGGGGAAGCATTGGGAAGCCCCTTCCATTTGTGCTTACATCTTAAGACTATGTGCAAACCCCGGTGGGTTTTCAAGGGAATCGATTTCGCCACTGGAAATGTGTGCTCATGTTTTGCTACCAGACTTAGGCAAATGGAGGCCCCCATGTGGGGATGGTGTTCAAACATCATTGAGAAGCTGCACTTGTCAGGGCTCGTCCCCTTAGAAGACGAATTCACATTGATGAGTTTCACCACGTATATGAGGATGCGATTGGATGTACTTATTAACTTGTGAATGTGTTTATATATTTATGTTTTTGTTTCTAGTCTTTTTTTATGTTCATTTGTTTTATCTATTTATTTGTATTTATATATATTTACGGGTTGTGTAAATAGGCTCATTTGAACTTGGGACTGCATAGTTTGTTCGTGGCTCATGTTATGCGTCATGTCTTTGCCACAGTCGATGCGCTTTCGATGCTTTCTGAGGAGTCGTTCCCGGTGGTTTGGCAACTGGGGCCCAAGACGGAGACGGAAGTCTACGAGGACGGGACGTTTTCGTCTCGCTGGGAGGCTGGTTTTCTGTATTGCTATTGTTTAGATGGGCATGAATCCGGGGTCGTTACATGAATCATCCATTTGCTGAAGACTTTTTTGTAGTTCCCCCTGTTGGTTTATAAAGGGAATCGATCATTGCTGGAACTGTTTTTCATTTTTACTTATGGCTTAAGCAAATGGATCCACCCCTGTAGAATACTAAAATAGTACTACAAGAGCATACTAAAAAAAGAACCTACAGGGTAAAGACCGGGTGAAATCCACACAAAGCGCATCCAAACGGGTTTCCAGATGAATGGGATGGTTTGTGCATCATGCAGGGTCATGAAGTTTCAGACAGATGTCTGGACTTGCCCTTGTTCCGTCTTTTGTTTGGTAAAGCCAAGACACATGGAATGGGGTCTTCCTCCACCTCCGGTTGCTCCCTTTGTTCGCTGTCCCTGGGATGGAGTTCCGGCACCCCATGAGGTTTGAGACAGATGTTCCCAATGTTGAAGCCAAGACAAATGGAGATTGGGGCCTGCTTTCCCTCCGGCTGCTCCAGTTTCATGGGAAAGCCTAGACTCACTTGCCCAAAGCGAATCGACCTTTTGACCTTTTGATTTGGCAACCATTTTAAGTCATGCCAAAAGGTGATCACCTTTTATTTTCAGGTCCTTTGGGCAACTGAGTAGACAGATGGAATGGGGCGAGCCCCGCCCGCCTTTTCAAGCCGATGGCTTGAGGACTACTTGGCTTGGCGCTGGGGTCGCCTGAACCTCGGCGATGCGCCCACGGGGGACTTCGCGCTGGCGAAGATGCGCACCCCGGCCGTGAGAAAAGCGATGCACGTTTGGACACTGGGAAACGGCCACTTGGGGTGTCCTTGGTTTTTTGTTTTGGAGTTGACCTGGTTTGTTTCTTTTTGTTTTTTCTGAGTTGATACCCGTTGTTTGTTTCGGTTTGTTTTTGTAGAGCCAGTGCCCCACGTCTTTGTCCAGACGGTTGCTTTAAAATCGTTCCATCTGGCCTTCCAGGTGATTTGTGTTGAGGTCACTGGACAACTGGGCGTCAGAGACATTTTGAATGCTTTTGATTTGGGTGTTGCCTGCCGTTTCGCTGTGATGTTTTGGCGTGTTGTTGGAGTTTTGTTTGTATAGTCATGCTTGCCCCATGTGCTTGGAACACCTTGGATGTTGTTGGCCTTTTTCGCGTCGCGCTGAACAGTCGGGACGCTTTCTGATGCAAACGTGGCTGTTTGTACATTTCCGCCTCAAGTGATATGTCAGAATCTGGAGTTTCCTTGATGGTTTTGCTTTTTCAGATTTGTAGCAAGGGGTCGCCTTAAAAAAAAAGCCACGGCATTCGTGGAGTCTCAGCCAAGGCTTGGTGGTCATGAGCCAGGGCGACGTGAATTCCGTCCTCCAGAGCTTCAGCATCCCGTAGAAAGTTTGGGTAGGTCTTCGCTGTTGGCATGTTCAAGAAAGAGAAACAAACAACGTTTGTAGGTTCTGTTCATTTCAAGTGGGCTGCAAAAAGGAGTCAGTGTGTCTTAGGATTGTTTTGGTCCACTTCATTTTTTCGTGGGCTGCTAAAAAAGAGTCAGTTTGTTTGCTACCATACCACGGGTTACGAAGTGTCCCTTGGTGAAATCAGTGTTTGGTGTCCGATGTCCATCCCCGAGAGATCGGAGCAACCTCCATTCTCACTGTCTGAGTCCCTGGACTTTCCAAACTTTTTGGGAAGGCCGTTATGGCTAAAAAAAGGTTTGGACTTTTCCGGCCAATCCACTCAGGAAGTGAACAGAGAGCCGAGTGAGTTGTAGATGTTTGAGATAGCGAGTCTGAACTGTTGGTTTTCGATCAATCCAAAACCAACAGTTCAGACTGGGATTTGGGCCACCTTTGGTGACCGTGAATGACCCACGGTTGACCCAAAATGGGACACGCATCCTTTGGGAATTTGGGATCTGGTGGGCCCGAAAGGCCGCACTTTGCATCGCATGTTGTTCCATGAGCTACCATTGGCCAAGAACTCTCGAAACACCACAGCTGCACTGGGTTGGGACAAACTCCTAAAATAGAAAATGGCCATGGGTCAAAATCCTGTACCCCTGGTGAACATCCCAATCCCCACTAAAATAGGTTCTAAAATGGGTGGTGCGCCTAGCCCAAAATGGGATCTCATTGCTTTTGACCCATTGCGCCATGTGCCTTTCTTTCTTCCAGTTCCAAACCGATCGAGTTCGGCCGAGCCATGGAGTCACAGCCTTGAGGTGAACTGCCGCCTTATGATCAGGAGATCCTGGGTGAGGAGTTAGCCCTCACAGGCGAGAGCACACCTCCAAATTTGCTTCGCTTCGCTTGGGGGTGAGAACGGAAAAACCCTCGAGAGCTTCATTGGTTTGAGCTTTGAGGCCGCAAACTTGAGCTTTGACTCATTGACCCGTTGCCAGGTTTCTCCGTGAAGGGCGAACAATGCCCGAATCCGAATCCCCCTCGTCTTCGGCCACGTGTTCGGCGGGCCTGGGCATTGATTTCCCCTATCAACCAAAAAGAAGCGCTTGATTGGCTTCACCAAAAGGTGTTTTTTTTTGTTTAACCAATCAAAGGAAGAGCTAGAACCCCGTAGTCTCAACCCCCACATGTAGCGGATCCCGGGGTGGCCTTTTGTCGGGGCTACGAGCGCTCTGTTCGATAGCCCAGCTGCCATTTGGACGGCCTTCGCCGAATCCTAAACTCCTCGGTGTGGGCCAGATGTAGCAGAAAAGAAAAACACAAACGGAAAAGCTCAAGCAAGAAATGCGGCCTTCAGCTTCTTATCTCTTTGTGAAACACATAGGTTGTTCGGCCTGTCATTGTGCGATTGGCCCTCTCAAACTCAGCCCGCAATGTAGCAAGGGTCCATGTTGCAAATTCGACTTTCCGCCCCCTAAGGACCTTTCACACTGGTGTGTGTGTGTGTGTTTGTTGTTCCCCCCCTCCCCCCCTACCCCACCCCACCCCGTTGTCCTGCACATTTACCCTTCCAAGGCCAATCAGGCAGCTGGCATGCTGTTCTGTTTCGGGTCACGAGTTGAACCCTGACTAGGTCAAAGAGCCCAGAGAGACTGGAACTCACTTGTTGAAAGCGAATGAACCGGATCAAACTTTTGGTTTTCCTGATTTGGCCCATAGGTCAAGGCTCCAAACGGTTCACCCTTCAAAGAAACCAGCTACAGGCAATTCAACGGGAAATCCTTGTTTCTGATTGATATTTGGCAAGTGTCCTGCCGAATTTCCCTTTTTGCCGCCGCCTATGAAGCTTCTGGGTCCCAAAGGGGCAAGCTTCTCCCCACGGAAGCCGACCATGGCAGGCTGCGCGGATCAATCCTTCGCAAGCCGGCCGTCCAAGCCGACGCTCGATCCGCAGATCGAGGGAGGGGGGGGCTTTGAGCCAAAATGGATGTCCAAGCCAGAAGACCCATTGGCACTGGTGTCCTTTTGATCGGTTAGTTTTGTTAGATAGATTGGACTAATTTAGATTGCCAGGGCCACTTTTTTTTTCAAAAGGACACCTGTGCTCATTGGGGTATGTGGCCAAAATGCGTTGGACCCCCCTAAGAAAATAAAATCAGAAAACAATGAGCCAAAAAAGAAGCCGATTTGCTAGACCCCATGGGTCAACGCAAGGGTAACAAGTTGGCATTCCGTTTGTTGCGCTTTACCGGCCAAGTTTTTGCGTCCCAGTCCTCCAGTAGATGGTTGGTTTCCATATGCCATAGTCGAGAGCGATGAATGAAATGCTCTAAACAGCCCAAGCTGATTTCTAGCTTTGTGAGGCGGCCAGGGGAGGGTTTGCACTCACAGAACCAGCATGGCCCTCAGAGAATGCGGTATGGAACACACAACCACAGCAGGCCAGCACAGACAGAAAGAACCCGCTAGCGCGCGAAATCCTGCGAAGTGTGAAGGTAAATTCTGTCGACGCAACCAGCCAGGGACCTGGGTGTTCCCCAGAAAATTTAGTCCAATGGACTTTTGGGCGGATGGGAACTGAACGGGCTGGTGACACGGGCTTTCCCATGGCGAGATGGTCGCCTCGAGGAGGGGTCCAGCCATCCTGATCTACTACGGCCCCGCGCTGATGCAGAAGGCGACCCATCGAAGCAGTTTCGAGGTTGATCTTCTGTCTCGATATAACAGGGTTTCCTCCATCGGCCTCCAAAAGTCTCAGTTTCAACGGAAACCACCAATCAATTGCAACTTGTCCAGCAGAAATCCAGTCACCCCTGTATAAAGAACCCGCTTGTTGTTCGATGTGTGAGCATGGTTGTGCTATGTTTTTTTCCTATAAAAGTTGCTTCTGTGCAGAATAACGCTCCTGCTTTGGGTGCGTGACTTCTTCGGTGCGTCGGATGTCCTACAGGGGGGAAGAACATGGTCCGCGTCTCTTGCGGTGGGGCTGGCTCACGGACCCCTCATTTGGCATTGACGAGTCAGGCCTTGGGGGGGGTTGGCCAAGCGCATGGCAGGGGGACTTCTCTACCCTGGCCCAAGGTGACCATGTAGACCTTTTCCTGGGCGCGGAAGTCAAAGGAAGTAATGTAGTGCGCAAAGCGCTCATAGCCTGATGCCATTTTTCCAACAGTGGACAGAGGGCCCTTAGATCCTAGGTGTGCTTTTGATCGGTAGTTTGAGTAGAAATGAATGGATGGGTTCCACCGTTTCAGATTGGTTTTTGTTCATTTCCCAATGCCATCTATTATTAACCAAAAGGACAATGTGTGAGATGGTAACCTTCCGCCCGACACGAGTCCACTTGGACGGTGGGAAAGACAGGAGCCCAAGTTGGGCAGTTTTTGGTTTGCCCTCGGCCAAGTCGCCGAACCCCTTGACCCTCGCCATTTTTTTGCTCCCCATGGTGATGGGAGGCTGACTGAATCAGGGGCGCCCGTGGGTGAGCGCCGCTTCCACGTTTCAATCCCTGAGTTGAATGGTCTTTTTGGGAAGACCATGATAGCTTTTGGTTCGGCCCACCACTCGGGAAGGTCTGTGTTTTCCTTGAGGTACCTGTGCATTTTCTTGAGGTACCTTTCGGTTTGTGGATTTACAGGGAAACCAAGAGAAACACCCAGCCACTTTGCGGGGTACAGAGCACCGCGCTCGAAAGGCGGGCTCCAGCGACCCTTTCAACACCATGCGAGTGCTGGCAGTGGCTCGCTCATGAGACGGATCAAGAAACCGTGGCGTGGGGGTTTGGTTGCTTTGGGAGCCTGTTTGAGGGCTATTTGCAACTTGCTGGAAGACTTGAAGAACTCTTTGGGAGGTGGGGTGTGGCAAGGTTGTGCATGTCTCAGCGGTTCTTCGGTGAAGTGCGGCTTCTTCATCACGGCGTTTCCGCTAAAAAACAGGTGGTGCGATGCACGGACATGATTCATTTTCATGGAGGCCGCTCAAGAACGCTCCATTGAAGCACATCCAGCTGGTCCCCTTGCCAGGTCCCCCAACAGTGCCCTTTTACCCTTTTTTGGGGGAGGGTTCCCCTACTAATAGACCACTGGAAAAAGGGTACCCTTATTCCAACCTCTCTACTGGAGGACCTAGAGCTCTATGTGCCGACAGCTTGCTGAGGAAGTCTTCCGGCAAGCCCGGCGCCTGTGGCCACTGATCGAGGGCAAGAAGTCCGCGGACAAGACAACTATCCTCCGTAGCTTGGCATGTGGGTTCCTGATACTTCCTGGGTCTTGCCTGAACGGATGCGCCAAGCTCAGTCCAAAGCTTTGAAGAGTTTGGACGTTTCTTCAGCAGTTGCTTGTTCAATACACAAGATGTTGCAAACTGAAACATGTTGCGAGGTACAACACCTGCCAAAGATTTGCAAGTTGGTGGGTGAGGGACATTCACGGGGTTCTTCAAATGGACCCCATCAGCCGGTGAATCATTGGGGCCGGGGGGCCTGAAATTGGCCAGTCGGGCGACTGGGTCCAATCTTCCGGCCGCTTTCTTGGGCCCTTTACAGTTGACGCCTGGCTGTCAAATGGGGCGGGGCGGGGGAAAAAATGGTTATAAGGTTGATTCTAGGGTAGGGAATTTTCAGTTCAGGGTTTCAGGGTTCAACACTACTTTTAAACAAGCAAACCATTTTGTTCAAAACCTAAAGGTTGATTGTGGGGAATTTTCCTAAATTTTCTCAACATTTTTTTACATTTTTTTCATTATGAAACAGTCTAAGATTTCATCATTTTCAAGGTTCGGGTTTCAGACAATTTTAAGGCTTTCTGGGGTTTCAAGTGTTTAATAATATTATAAGATAATAATATTAATAAACTTAGTCATCATCACTAAAATCATAAGTATCCATACCTGGGTCTTCCAACATGTGCAAAATTATTGCTGTTTTGTCAAAAACTATGTTTTTTGACCCAACGGCGATTATTTTCGCCTGCCGGCAGTTTTCAGTGTTTGCACACTCTAGCATCAATCAAAATTGCAAAACGGCGTAATTTGCCGTCAAAACGGCGTAATTTGCCGGCGAAACGGCGTTTTTTTTGCCTGGTTCCGAGCTGGACTCACGGCGAGCGCTTTTTCTCCGAAAGAGCGTTTTTTTCAGCAACCGGCAAAAATTATTGCTGTTTTGGGAAACGGCGTTAATTTTACATGTTGGAAGGTCCAGGTATAATTAAACCAGTCTAAAATCAACCTTTTCTTTTCTACCAAATGACAGACGAATCTACGGTAAAACTCATTATTAAAAATGTTTTTTATAAACGACTTTGTCTTTGTTTTCTATATATTGCCATTTCAACATTTTAAGAAAATCTCTACACATTGAAATGCTAAAAATTTTACAAGATACATAACCATCATTATTATGAAAAAGTAAATTATAATGAAATTGAGTAGCGGTTTCATAATACAAGATTAGCCTATTGTCATATCCATACTATTTTAATGTTTTGTCTAAACCAGTTGTAAATATTGTCCGTAATGATTTTTTCGTTGGACATTTATTTAACCTCGTCATATACCAAATCCACTTATCCATTTCTTTTAAATTGTCAGGTTCGTTTTTCATTAAATGTTTTGTAATGGTGCATCTTTTACAACATACAAAACTCAATATATTATCAATGATACAGTCAGGAAATATGTCATTTGCTTTTTTGACTTTGTTGTTGTATATCTTACAACCACGGCATTTTACAATTTCTTTTGTCAATTCTTCTCTGATACACTTATTCATTTTTTCCTTAATATATTAAGGGGTCATTTCTTTAAGTAGTTTTAGTTTTTGCAGGGTTGATATTTTGGTTTTCAGTTTCATCATTTTCACTTTCAGACTCGTCCCCATCCACACCGGTAGGTACAGGCATATCGGTAGGAGGTGCTATTTCATAATTAGGATTTTCTTCTGATGATGATGAATTAACAGTATGCGTTGAAGAACTATTAACAGTGATAGGAGGAGAACTATGAACACTAACAGGCGGTGAGGTGTTTAAATCAACTTCTTCACTAACATTTGTATTCAACCAATTCATTATAGCAGTTGCTATATCGTATGATGTTACTAATGAATTCATTGTTAAATTAACTAACAACTCTGAACCTTGAATTGTGGTTATTGTAGTGTGGTATGTTAAATGTGCTACTATTTGTCCTATACTAAAACCTGAACTCATCATAAATTCTATAATCCTCATCAACATAAATAATTTCTTTCTATATCTATCAATGTCATCATCTTTTTTGTCATCATCATCATCATCGTCATCATCATATAAATCAGGGTCATATGTAAATGCTTCTGCTTCTGCTTCAGCCTTGGTTATCATTTTACTTTTGAAACTCTTTGAAGACCCACCTAATAGTTTTGTCATATCATCAAAATTATAAGTTTGTGTTTCTTTATCATTTGGTAGGTCTGTTTGTGTTGCCTTGTTTTCTTTGTTAAGCGTTTGTGTTGCCTTGTTTGCCATCATAACTTGAGCGTTCATATATCTTTCTTTATTTTTATAATTCATTAAATCCATTTTATCAAAATCAAAATTATTCAATAACATATCTTTCTTGTATTTCTTCAGTATAACTGTTGTTTTTATTTTGTTTGTCATTGCTTGTTTAAGCATTTCATCATATGTGGGGCGTTTCCTTAACTCGTGTTTGCGGTTGTTAATCATTTTATATAATTGTTGATAAATTATATAAATGATTTAATCCTTTGTTGCTTTGCCTTTGCCTTTAATATCTCTCCAATCTTCCATTCTTTTTCTTAGCAATTCATCATTTACTTTCGTCGTCCATTTTCCGTTGTTTATAAGTTTCTCCACCAGTCCAACTAAATAAGTTCTACCGGTTTCTTTTTTACCTTTACCTTTTTTCTTTGTGTTTGAATATTGTTGTTCCTGTTCTTCAGTAAGTCCTGCTCCTCGTAAATGTAATTGAAATAATATGTTTCCTCTTTTACTGTGCTTCCTTTCCAATGGTTTATATCAGTTGAATAGTCAATGGTTTCCTTATGTGTTCTTGTTTGTCTTTGTGGGACTGTGGATGAGCTGTCAGCGTTGTCCATTGTTTGCTCTCTCTTCTCGGTTCTTTTCTTTTGTAAAGTTTCTTCTCTTACAATACGCCCCTTTAATGCCGCCTGTAGTCGTTTAGCCGCTTCATCTTCTGTCATAAGCGGTTCTAACGGTGGTAATTCATCATCGCTTGATTTAGCAGTTGCCATTGATTGTACCTCTGATGGTGTATCATATTTTGTTTTTCTCCAATCTGTGGCTACCCGTGCCCTTTCATGTAAATCATCTAAAAATTGTCGTCTAACATCTTCTGACATTTGACTTGTTTGTTGTTCGTGTTGTTCCTCGGCATCGTCCATTGTGGCACTTAGTGTTTGTATTGCTCCATCTCTTAAATCATCCATTTCATCGTCCCTTGTCATATCAAACTGTTCAACGGTTTTAGGTTGTTCTAACATTTTTTAAAATGTTGTTGTCTCAAATCTACGGTATTATTGTCATACACTGTTCCTAATGGACTATCACGAAAATAATAAGCGTTTCTGTCTATTACATCTCTGATATTCTTATTTTTATATTCTTCCTTTGTAATTTCCTTTATCAGTTCATTATAAGACGGTCTTAATCTCAATTGTGATTTTAGCGTTTTCATCTGTGCATTTTCTAATCTCATTATTATATGAAATTAATTAGATTATAAAATTTATTTATCTAATTTAATTAATTTATTCAAAATTAAAATCTTGTCTTAATTGATTGATTATTCCTTTTTTCTTCTTAATCATTTCCGAATAGGTTTTACCTGTTTCACTTGATGGATGATGTCTTATTTTTTCACCTTCCAACCTTTGGATTTCATTAAAATACGCCTGTGCTTCATCTTGATATCTTCTTCTATTTTGAAATATAGCGTAATCTTTTTTAGCGTTATGAAATTCTAACTGTTCCTTCATTTCTTTCAGATATGTATAGTTTGGTTGGTGTGCTTTGTTGTCTCCGTCGTAATAGTAATGGACATTAGATTTATATTTTTTACTTGGTTTTGTTATGGGATTATAAAATTTGTTTGATGTTGGTAGTTTACCTGCTTTACCATTATTTGTAAGTGTTGATGTTATATTTTCAAAATCTGACTTGTTCATATAATAATAATTAGATTATAAATTTATTTATCAAATAATTTTTGATACTAATTTATTAATATGTTCTTGTTTCTTTTCCATCTTCTGCTGTTTCATATTAATATATCTATCTTTTGCGGTTTCAAATACTTTATTTGCTGTGCTTTCTATATGTTGTTTTAACCTTTCTTCAACTTTTTGTTGAACACGCTTTTCTATTTCTTGTTCATCCACTTTAATATTATCTTTAACTTTACTATATACATTATTTTCAAACTCTTTTGCTTGCCCCTCGTTCATAATTTTGCGTCTTACAGGTTTGTTTGGGTCTGGTTCTTTTTTAACTGGTATTCCATTACAGTTATGACGATATTTGAAAGTGTATTTTGTTAAATATTTTTTACATTTTGGACATTCCACTTTTTCAGTTGAGTATGTTTTAGATTTTAATTCTTGCTTTGGTGGTTCGTCTATATTATTATCTGGTGTATTGTCTTTATTATTTTCTTCCTTTATAATATTATTAGTTTCTACTTCTTTACTTTCTTCATTAATAATAGGTTCTTCTTTACTGTCTTCTACTTCTTTAGGTGCTTCATTATTTTCACTGCCTACATCTACTATTTCAATATTTTTAACCATATAATTAGTATATAATAAATATTTATATTAAAATATTTTAATATAATTAGTATATAACAAATATTTATAATAAAATATTTAATATATGCTTTTCTAACCTTCAAAAAATGTTAAACTAAAACTACTTGTTGTTCCATTCATATTTAAAACTCTACCCGATGCATCAGTAAATCTAAAATGAAGTCTATTCAATGAACGCATACTAACATCATTAGCATCATTTAAAATTAGTTCATTATCATATATGAGGTTGCCGAATGATGTTAAAACTGGTACTTTCTTTATTATTGATGAAGTACCAAAACTACATATCTGGTTTCCGTTACTTAATTCATTACAATGAATATAAATATTTTTAACAGGTAAAAATGATATAAATCCACTAACAAAAGGGTCTGCTGTACTATTTACTTTTTCGGTAGTATTTCCTAAAATGTCATTAATACTATTAAGATAATCTCTATCATAATCAATACCAAAACTGTAATTTGTTTTTAATTGT